GACTGGGTCGTCGAGTGATGGGCTTGGGTGGTTGCCTCTCGGTTCTTCCGAGGCCCCTGTGGCTGGAAGGGGCTCCTTGGTGTCGCGTTGTCCACCCTGGTTCACAGCCGAGTCTCGCTTGAGCCGCCTAGCGGGCTTGTCCCCAGTAAAGGCCGTCCTGCCATCCCTGGTGATCCTTCTGAATGTTTAACATCACTCAGTGTCAGAATGTTCTGGTTTAAACTTCCTCATTTAAGCTGCATCTCGCTCTGGTCTGAAGAGATGCACACTGCTCGCTCTCAGCTGTTTGGGGCAGGATCTACGCCATCTTACTCTGAATCTTCTCTTTCCCAAGGAGACACAGCCTAGCTCACTGGGCTTTTCCTTCCCTCTCATTTTCTTTTCTTCTTTCTGCATGTTTCTTCTCTGACTTCTTCATGTGTCTTTTCTTTTGAGAGCCCTGGATTTGACCTCATCTGCAGGAAAATGAACGGGGTGGGGAAAGGAGTCGAGGATTGTGCTGAGGTTTGCGGTCTGAGCATCTGGGTGAACAGGAGTCCTGTTTACTGACCTCCAGTTGACTGTAGGCCGAGCAGGTGAGGGGAAGCCTGCGAGGGAGTCGTGAGCCGAGAGGGGCTGGCGGTGCTCAGCCGGTGAAGGTGGCCCTGGTCAGGGAGAGGGTGTGGGAGGAGAGACGAGGCCTGGAGACGAGGAAGCCCAGGAAACACCATTAAGGGGTGGGCAGAGGAAGAGGGACTAGAATAGAGACTGAAAAGGAGTCGCAGGTGACAGGAAAGCTGAGGAGATGTGCTGTCCCGTAGCTGCGAGCAGCAGCATTCCAGGTGGGGGGCGTGGGCAGGTGCTGTAGTGCGGAGAAGTGCGCTGAGGCGGGGCACCGGGGGTCCCTGGGGCCTCGGCGGGGGCACTTCAGGGAGCAGCAGGGGCCGGAGCCAGAGAGGAGTGGGCTTCGAGAGGAGGGGGCGCTGGGGGCCTGCATCGCTGGCATCAGGAGCTGCCCCATACCATGTGCTCTGACAGAGGCTCGGGAAGCCTCGGGCCGCGTCGCTCCCCTGCACCGAGCGACGTTGCCTGTTTATGAGGCCCTGCGGGTGCCAGGCACAGCCCCAGTGCCCAGGACGCAGAGACCGGCCTCCACACCCCCGTGGCCTGTGCTGACAGCGCCAGCGTCTGCAGCTCTTCCCGGGAAGCCTGCCTGACGTCTTGGTGAGGTCCCTCCCGTCGCGGTCCCCCAGCCCTGCAGCGCCACTGCACGCCCTGCACCTCGGCTCTCGTCTCCCCTCCCGTGTGTGTGGGAGCATTTTATTCTCATCTGCCCCCCCGCCAGCCTGGGGGCCACGTGCACACAGGGGCCTGGCCTACCTTATACTGTATCCATCATACAGGAAGACTGCCAATGCCTACTAGGCTCTGGATAAACATTGAAGGAAAAAAGAGATGTGAGTTAACGTGGCAAAGAACATGGGCACAGAAACCACTCCTGTGCAGAGGGCTGGGGGCTCCCTCCGGTCGAGGGCTGCTCCTTTGGGTCTGGAGGAGTGAATGTCAGGCTTCACCCAGGAGGTCGGCGTCTGGAGAGTTTTGTCCTGGGATTGATTTCACATGGTTACTACGCTTTACATCCTCTGCTCTTTTCTCTCCCCTCCGGCCTCACTGTCCTGTCAGTGGGCCCCGAAGTGAGTAGGCAGCTGGCTGAGAACCATTCTCTTCATCTTGCCTTAGATCTTGCCTTGTTTTCTGTCACCTTGCCAGAGGACAGCCTGGGCCTGTCTTCTCATTGCCCCAGGCTCCCAAGCACGTCAGAAGTCAGAAAAGTCAAAAAGCCCCACAAGAAACACACACTCTCAGGATCCATGGGGCAAGAGCCCCCTGTGTGTGCTGACTCCTTCATGATCAGAGCCAAGACCCCACCTGCCACGCTGGCTTCTCCTGGCTCCAAGTTCAACACTGGAGCTATCAACACCTTTTCTGAACTTGGCTGGGGCGCCAGGGAGCACCTGCCAGAGGCTGAGGTCAGACTTGAGTTTGTACGCGTAGGGGAGGAGGCTGCAGTGGCCCCTGGAAAATCAGAAGCCCTGGCTCCCAAAGGAGGAGTGGGAGGGACCTGTCCCTGCAGGGGAAGAGACCAGCCCGCGCCTCGGCAGCAGCCTGCGGGTCCCGGCACCTGACTAGGCTTTCCTGGAGGAGCAGGAGGAAGGCCTCCTGGGGCTGCGTGTCCGCAGTGAGAAGAGAGCAGCCTGCCCTGGAGAGGCCTGGTCTTGGCCTGGCTGACCCCTGTGCAAATGGCCACCCTGCTGCTGGGCAGGATAAGCCAGAGGGAGACTCCGGACCCTGTGGCCTCCAGTCTGTGTTGGGGCAGGAGCCCCCGGTGCAGCCTGAGAAGAAGGTATCCAAGTGGAAGGCGAGAGGAGGGGGAGCTGGCAGGAAGGAAGTCGAGGGACCCAGTGCTCAGCTCCAGTCCGGTCCCCTCTGACTTGCTGCTGCTCCAGGCGGCCAGCCCGGACAGGCTGGAGGCACGCCAGCCTGGCGAGGGTGCAGCGGCGAGGCCAGCCGCCATCCTCATAGCCCATCTGGCTGGAGAGGCGCGTCACCTCAAGACACGGAAGAAGAGGCGCTTGCTTCCTGGGGAGGGCGAGCAGCCGCCCCGCTGAGCCTCCAGAAACCACTCTGCCTGAGGAAGCTGGTGAGGACCGCGCAGGCCGAGGCCAAGGGCTGGGCTCCCGGGCACTCCCCGGGCCCCCTGGACACCCTGGGTCAGAGACCGTGCCTGGCGTGAGACGCTTCTTTACCATCAACTGCAGGAATGTCTGCCGTGTCACGTGCACTCTGTGCCACCGAGCATTAGACGGCAAAATTTAGGGGCGGTCCCCACCTTCAGCTCTGGTCCGTCTCTTGGCAACTAAGCACGGGCGGGAGGTGGGGAGGAAGCCAGCTGCAGCCGGCCCCGGGGGGGAACGGGGAGGGGTGCCCAAAAAGAAGCAGAAGGACCTGCCCACAGGAGCCACCAGCCGTGTCCCGAGGAGCTGCCATCACCATGCTGCCGCCGGATACCTCATCTCTGGAAGATGGTGACGGACAGGCGGGCCCGAGCAGCTGGTACAGGTTCGGCCTCCCCCGCCTACTCCCACTGACGGCAGCTGGGGAGGACTGAGGTGGCGTATGTGCCCCCAGCCAGCTCCGAGCACGGGCCTGGAGCCAGAGCGCTGCCGAGTTGCCCTGCAGCCCGGCGCTGCCCCCGTCCTTTGTCCTGGCCCCACTCCTCAGGTTTATGGCCCAGGTGGGCCGTCGCTACCGCCTGCCGTCTCCAGCCTTCTCCCGTGAAGCCCCGCCCCTGCTGCACGGGGCGGTGGGCGAGCAGGTGCGTCAGGGGGTGCAGTGGGCCAAGGGCAGCCGCGTCCACCTCACTGTTTCCGTGGCAGCCCGGGTCGCGGACGTGGACTACGCGGCTGTCACCGCCCACTGTGGGGTGACGCAGCTGGGTGGCCGGCAGGTGGCGTCAGGCGGCCCGAGGAGGCAGGCCACGCCTGGGTCTGACGCCTGCACCTGGACAGGGCTGCAGAGACGGGCCGCGGGAGCTGCAGGGGCAGCTCAGCCTGTGGCTTGGCCACAGCTCTCTGTGCCTGGGCTTCCTGGTGTCGGGCGGCTGCCCGAGTCTGGAGCAGGCCCTGAGGACGGGGGGCCACACCCACGCCCCTCGCTTTGCCCACTGCCTTGACTCCCTGGTGGGAAACTTCTGTCACCAACATAGTGTCCAGATCATGCTGGGCACGGCTAGGGCCATCTGCAGCCACTTCCAAGGCTCTGCGGAAGCCCGGCGGCTCCTCCCAGCTGCAGCGGCAGTGCGGCCTCCCAGCCCACCAGCCCTTCTTGGGGCTCTCGCGTCCCTGGGTGTCCGCCTACCACTTGCTGGGGGGAGGAAGCCAGCTGCAGCCGGCCCCGGGGGGGAACGGGGAGGGGTGCCCAAAAAGAAGCAGAAGGACCTGCCCACAGGAGCCACCAGCCGTGTCCCGAGGAGCTGCCATCACCATGCTGCCGCCGGATACCTCATCTCTGGAAGATGGTGACGGACAGGCGGGCCCGAGCAGCTGGTACAGGTTCGGCCTCCCCCGCCTACTCCCACTGACGGCAGCTGGGGAGGACTGAGGTGGCGTATGTGCCCCCAGCCAGCTCCGAGCACGGGCCTGGAGCCAGAGCGCTGCCGAGTTGCCCTGCAGCCCGGCGCTGCCCCCGTCCTTTGTCCTGGCCCCACTCCTCAGGTTTATGGCCCAGGTGGGCCGTCGCTACCGCCTGCCGTCTCCAGCCTTCTCCCGTGAAGCCCCGCCCCTGCTGCACGGGGCGGTGGGCGAGCAGGTGCGTCAGGGGGTGCAGTGGGCCAAGGGCAGCCGCGTCCACCTCACTGTTTCCGTGGCAGCCCGGGTCGCGGACGTGGACTACGCGGCTGTCACCGCCCACTGTGGGGTGACGCAGCTGGGTGGCCGGCAGGTGGCGTCAGGCGGCCCGAGGAGGCAGGCCACGCCTGGGTCTGACGCCTGCACCTGGACAGGGCTGCAGAGACGGGCCGCGGGAGCTGCAGGGGCAGCTCAGCCTGTGGCTTGGCCACAGCTCTCTGTGCCTGGGCTTCCTGGTGTCGGGCGGCTGCCCGAGTCTGGAGCAGGCCCTGAGGACGGGGGGCCACACCCACGCCCCTCGCTTTGCCCACTGCCTTGACTCCCTGGTGGGAAACTTCTGTCACCAACATAGTGTCCAGATCATGCTGGGCACGGCTAGGGCCATCTGCAGCCACTTCCAAGGCTCTGCGGAAGCCCGGCGGCTCCTCCCAGCTGCAGCGGCAGTGCGGCCTCCCAGCCCACCAGCCCTTCTTGGGGCTCTCGCGTCCCTGGGTGTCCGCCTACCACTTGCTGGAGTGGCTGGAGAAACGGCAGCTGGGGAAGGCAGGGGCGGCCCTGTCGGCCGTGTTGCGGAGCCTGACAGACAGTCTGGTCAAGCTCCCGCAGCCCTTCGGGATGGTGGTCCGGGAGGCGAGCGCCGCGCAGGCCGCCTTAAGCCTGGTGCTGCCCCAGCTGTGCTACCTGCACATCTTCCTGGCGCAGGTTTGCGGGAGCTTTGAGGAGTGGAGCACCGGGGAGATGGGTGCGGCCGTGGGGCTGGCCGAGGGCCTGGCCCTGCAGCTCTCCACAGACCACCACCTCCCTGAGCTCTTCCACCGTGAGGAGTTCGTGATGGCGACCCTGCTGGACCCCGCTTCAAGGGCAGGATAGAGGCCGCCCTCCCCGAGGGGGCTGACATCAACCATTGGAAGCAAGTTCTCGTGTACGAGGTGAAGGAGCTCGTGGCGTCTTGAGTACTCCTGCCGCCCTCCCCTTCCCTGCAGGGCCCCACTGCTGTGCGTGTGGACGCCCCTGAGCCGCGCAGGAGCCAGGAGCCCTGGGGCCGAAGGGAAGGGCCGGGAAGCGCCCGAGCAGAGAAGCGGGACCTCTGGGTCCTTGCTGCTGGGCCAGAGGGAGAGGAGCCTCCCGGAGCAGGTGGAGAGCCGGGGTCTGCTGGTCTCGGAGAGGAGCGGCGCTTCCCTTTCCACGGAGAGCCACCTGGTCAGCATCATCCGCAAGAAGTGCCTGCGTGAGAACGAGACAGTGGGTGTCCAGGAGGACCCCTTGCTTATTGGCAGAAGCGGCGGGACGTCCGGCCAGACCTGGCGAGACTGGCCACCATCTATCCTGCACCCTGACGGGCGCCTTCTCTGCAAGTGTCTTTGCGTCCCTGGGCGGCCACGCCATCGTGGAGCATGACTCCCCTCTTCAGGGGAGACGGCTGAGCGTCTTCTCTTCTTGAAGACCAACCTGGAGCATCTCCCAAGCTACACCCGCGCCCCTTATCTTCCCCAGCAGGGACCTGGCCGAGGCGCGCAGGCCGGTGAGTCTGACCGCAGGGTCCGATGCCCTGAGAAGCTGCCTGTGGGAAGTCTGCGTAGATGACGGGAGGGGGCACAGTGTCGCATCCTAGGACATTAGACGGGGAGAGCCAGGCTTCAAAACTCGTTTGAAAAGAATGAGGACAGTTTCTCAGTTCTTGACAGATTGTCATTTTCGTTTTCGCGGAGATGTCATCTTCCATCTGCCCCCTGCTGGAGTCACTGCCGGTGGTACGTGGGCGGGAGGGTGGGCTCTGGTCATCGGTGACTCTGAGTTGTACCACACAGCGTATGGACCGCGGTGCTCCTTTAAAGTGTCGCTGAGCGAGGGGCCCTACACGCGGCTTGTCCGTGTGTGTCGGGGCGGCAGGCCCTTGTCCGTGTGTGTCGGGGCGGCAGGTTCTCAGAGAGCAACCAGGCGCCGTGCGGGATATCCTCAGCCACCTAGGGCCTGGGTAAGCCGTGGACACTCTTCCTGGAAAGGAAAGAAACCCTAATATGATAGAGTAGCCACTTTAAGAGGGAGGTGCCCACATGCGCACCGGTCTTCTTAGGGTCTGTACTTTGCCGTGGATCCCGGGGTTCCCAAGAGCCCTGGTGGAGGGCACCGCCCAGCTCCTGCGGGTGTGTGATCAAGGAGAGAGCTGGGATGCCCAGTCATCACGTGGCCGTTGTCACCTGTAGTTTGTTTCCAGACTACTGGAAGCCTTGGGGTTTCTTCTTTCTACAGTGAAAGCAGTCTCAGGAAGCAAGAAAGGACATGTATCCCAGTGACTGACCAGCCTGAGTTCCTTTAGGGTCGAGTGCAGGACCTGAGGGCATGGGGCCCAGGCTCTGGTGGGATCAGTGGGAAAAGAAGGAAGGGTGAGGCCGGAGTGTTTGGGGCGGGGCTCATCACACCCAGAAGACACAGGTCCAGCTCCGCTGCGGTGCTGGGCTGCTGGGAGAGGGACTTTGAGAGGGAAAGGGGGTCGTAGAGGCACCAAGGCCTAACTTGCACTTTGGCCCTGGCCGTGCGGTTGAGCCCGGGAGCCGGTCCCCGTGCTTCCCCTGTGTCACTGTGACTGATTCACTGTAGGACGTTCGGAAGTTACTGAGAACGTAAGGAAGCAGGAAAAATTCACTGTAATCCTTTCACTCAGCCTCTGTGAAAACTTGGACGTATTTCCTTTTTTACCTTGAGCTCATACTACCCTCTGTGCTAGTTAGTGTGCTGTATTTTCAGTTTAACAGTGTAACGTGGCATTTTCTTGAATAAGGCTTTATACAGATTGTGCTCAGTGGTTGGAGCATCACAATAGGAAGTGAAGTCTCACCTGCACACTGCTCAGGTCGTGTCTTCTTCCCCAGCTGCTGGAGGGCATGTCTGCACAGGCTCCCTGTGAGGAGAGGCCAGCGCCCCTGGGGGCGAGGCTGGGTGCCTCCATGCCTTGTGGACTAGGGCTGCGCTCCCTTAACGTCTGGATGCTGCATCCAGTGCATTTGGGTGGTGAGATCAGGGCCCGGCCCTGGACCTCTCCCTGCCTCCCTGTCTCCCTTCCTTAAATTGCACGTGGGTCTCAGACTTCAACGAGAATCACCTGAGAGCGTCTTAAAATGGAGGCGTCCTGTCCCACCTCGCAGGTCGGATGGAGCAGGTGAGGTGGGGGCGGGGGTGTCATGTGCCCTAACTAAAGCTGTCCAGGGGGCCGTGTATTGGTCAGTGCTGCCACCCCTCGAGCTCCTCCTGGGAGAGGCACTGTCCCCTTGCTGTGTGGCCTCCCCTCAGCGGCTCTCCTTGTTCTCGGAGAGGGGAGGCCTGGACCGGCGAGGCACCAGGGTGGGGGTGTGTGAGGAAGACGAGGGCAGTGAAAGGGAGGAGGTGAGAAGCTTGACGGTCCCGAGCTTGGGGGCTCGGGCTCTGGAGTGGTGGTTCTCAACCGGGGGCAGTTTTGTCCCCCAGGGGCCATTGGGCAACGCCTAGAGATATTTTGGTTGTCACAGCTTGTGGGGGGATTGCCACTGTCCTCTCGTGGGTGGAACACAGGGACGCACAGAGGAGCCTCCGCAGCAGAGACTTACCCCGGCCCCAGATGGCGGCAGTGCCGGGTCAGAGAACCCTGCGCCAGGTTGTGGTCGGGAGGGAATGGGGCGGAGGGAGGGGCCCCAGTTCACCGAAGCGGCCAGGTGACTGTCCACCTGAGGCTGCTCCAAGTTGAACCGTTTCTCCCCTAGACTTAGCTCTGCCCTGCCCTGGCGACTCACGGCATCCTCTTCTGGCCCATTCCCTACATAGGTAAACTGAGACTCAGAACTGCTGGCTCTGAACAAGGGAAGATGGGCCTTCCCCCGGAGATCTGGAGTCACCTGTTTCAGTCATAGCCTTGTCCGTGTGACCGAGTCCTTTTCACAGACACACGTTGGGCCAGCGCCTCTGTTCGCTCATTTCCATTAAGAGGACCAGGGTGATTCTGGTTTTTTAGAGGAATGTTGACGCTGTTGCATGTGGACGAGCCATTCTCGCATCGCGCGGAGCCTGCTGTCCGCTGCTGGCCTCTGCGTTGGCTGGGTTTGCACAGGTGTGTGGGCCCCGGCCTGGTTGAAGTGTGCAGATTTGAGGTAAAATGGGGCCCAGGAGCGGAGCAGAGGTCATGGACACGCTGGAGAATCAGGGTTTGACTGCGGTGCTGTTCATCTAACTACAGACAAGGGCGTGGGACCCAGGGCTGAGGGCACAGAGCCAAGTGCTGGCGGGGCACGTGTCTCCTGCCAGATGGGACTTTGGGGGCACAGGAGGCCTGATGTCCAGTCCCAGTGCCATCTTCCCGCTCCCCTGTCCTCTTCCGCAGGACGTGGGCACGCGCACACCGTTCTCTGCCCGCCCCCTTGTTCTTTCCTTCCCTTTGCGCACCACCTCCATCCCCATCGCTGGCGGGGTTCCTCAGGGCACCGCTTCCCCCTCAGCCCGTCGCCCTGGCGGCGGCGGGGCATTTGAACACGGGGCTGTGGCTCTTCCCTGGAGGCCTGGCGTGTTGTCCTCCCCACCCCCGGCTGCTCATCGGTACCCTCCGTTCAGCCTCGAGCATGTGGGTGTTCGCCTGACTTCAGCCCCTGGCTGTACACCAGGGCTCCCTGACCGCTTTCACCCGCAACATAGTGGCTGGGAGGATGTGCGTACACCTGGAGAGAGGCCCGCAGATACTTGAAGAGATGGTGTCCCCCCGAGGCTGGCCTGTTGCGCCTCACTCTCACAGACGGTGCCTGGACCCCGTCATCCTGGACTCGCCGCTGCCTCCTGAGGCCGATGCCACAGGACACCCCAAGTGCGAGACGGGAGCCCGGCCTCCGGTCACGTGGCCAGGTTCGGGCACACGTTCTCTTCCCTCCTCTCATCGCCCCTTGCCCTCAGGAGGGGTCCTCGTCTCTGGCTGGTGCTTTTATGGCCCATCTGTGGTGCCCGGTGCCCTGTGGGCCAGAGCAGGTTTAACCAACGTGGAGGTGACTGCACCGCTCGCTGCTCACAAACCCAGCAGATGCTTCCGCAGAGTGACCAGGTTTCTTAGCGGCCGCCTCCATGCCTTGTGGACAGAAACACTGGTAGAAGTGAAGAAGGAGCTGGGCTGCTGCGGACTGGAGGGGGGCTGGGGGGTGCAGGGCCCCCTTCCTAGAGACGGGGTGGGGCTCAGATGTGTTAGCAGCCTCCCCAGCATCCTGGGGCGAGTGGGAGGAGCTCTGGGTCTGATTTCCTTGGAGGGGGCCTGAGGAGTGGTGTTGCTATGGAAGCGCAGCCTCGGGGCCTGGCAGAGGCTCTGGAGCCCCAGGTTTTGTAAACAGCAGGAGTGAATGGCTCCTTGTTTCTCTGCAGGCCTCACCCAGCCTGGCCTGGGCCCAGCCCGAGTCTGTGGGGTTGGGGAGCTGCCACTTGGAGCAGAAGTCTGCTTGTTTTCCTCTCTTCTTGGACCCCGAGCCTTCTGCGCTTGCTCGGCATCGCCGGCGTCCCTCCCGCTGGCCTCCTGCCTCGTGCTCTTGTCTTGCACTGACACCTGGGTTTCTGCCACCCCACGGCCACTGGTGACTAGAAAGTACCCTCTCTCCCCTTTTCTGGATCCAACATAGGTGCCACCCTACCCCTCCCTCCAGGACAGCTTCCTTGACTGCCCGGCCTCCCCTCCCCAACCCCGCTTTGCCCGTGTCTGCAGCTGGAACCATGCTATCTGGCTGGCAGCGATGGGCGCTGTTCTGTTGGTGCCACAGTGAAGAGCTGGTCTTGACAGGCAGGTTCGGGGAGCAAAGGTGAGGGGCCTGGCAGTGCTGCCACTTACTCCCTGTGCCTCCGCTGTCCCTTCCCTCCCTCGACCTCAGTTTCCTCATCAAGGACTGAAGGCTGAGTCCTCAGGCCCCACAGCTGCCACCAGAGGTCACAAGTTGGCCCGTGGAACGTGGAAACCACTTTGAATTCATTGCTGATTTTTAAAGAAATTGTCAAGAAGGCCCAGGTGCTCTCATTTGTGTTTGCCAATGCGTGGCTCTCCCAGGAAGGAAACAAAAGAGATTGGCGATGATGGTGACCTGTTATCTCTTCAGAAATAAGTGTAAATGGTTAAAAGGAAATAACCTCAGAATTAATACAGATAATCGTGAACAGTTACCGAGAAAGGAAAGTAATGAGATGTGTCTCCGGAGCAGATTTGGGAGACGGGAAGAATTGGTAACGCGGGCCTGAATCCCACCCAGCATGGCCACAACCGCCAGGGCCGAGTCAGGACCCCCTTAGGCAAGGGCCTGTGCCTGGCCCCCCTCCCTCAGAGGGGCTCCTTACCCTTCTGCGCCCTGGACTCCCATCCTCAGGGCCCGCCGGGCCGTCTAGGTCTCTGGCCCTGGCGGTGGAGGCTGGGCGGTCACTGAGGTGCTCAGAGGCCCGCTTACTCTTTGACTGTTTCTCCTCAGGGACCTGCTGGCCCTTGAGCTGGGGTGTCGGAGACAGGCGTCCAGCCCAGGCCGAGTGGACGGGGCGTCCTTTGGGGTGAGCAGCCCACTGACAGCCAGTGGCACCTGCGTCACCGTGACGGAGCTGCCGGGGCCCCGGCCACCTGGACCCACTTCGTCTCATGGAGCCTCGGGGTGAGAAGTCGGGAGAGGCCGACGGGGTGCGCGTCACCCCTCAGCTGCTCAAGGCGCGCTCAGGTGAGTTCGCCCTGGAGTCCATCCTGCTGCTGAAGCTGCAGGGCCTGGGGCTGGTGGACCTGGGCTGCCTGGGGGAGTGCTTGGGCCTCGAGTGGCTGGACCTTTCGGGCAACGCACTCACCCAGCTGGGCCCACTGGCCTCCTTGCGCCAGCTGGCTGTGCTCAACGTGGCCAACAACCGGCTGACGGGGCTGGAGCCCCTGGCCGCCTGCGAGAATCTGCAGAGTCTCAACGCCGCGGGCAACCTGCTGGCCGGCCCCGGGCAGCTGCAGTGTCTGGCGGCGCTGCGGGGCCTCGAGCGCCTGCGGCTCCGCGACCCTTTGGCCCGGCTCAGCAACCCGCTGTGCGCCAGCCCCTCCTACTGGGCCTCGGTCCGAGAGCTGCTGCCTGGCCTGAAGGTCATCGATGGCGAGCGCGTGAGCGGGCGCGGCAGTGACTTCTACCAGCTGTGCCGGGACCTGGACAGCTCCTTGTGCCCTGGCTCCGGCCCCGGCCCGCGAGCCGTGGAGGCCCAGCCCTGGGTGGAGCCCGGCTACTGGGAGTCCTGGCCCACGGGCAGCAGCTCCATCCTGGAGGAGGCCTGCCGCCAGTTCCAGGACACGCTGCAGGAGTGCCACGACCTGGACCGCCAGGCCAGGGACAGCCTGGCCCAGGCCGAGCAGGCGCTCAGCCCCGCCCGCGCCACCTCCTTTGTCTTTTGAATGCACCCTGTGGCCGTGGCCCTTGGGGTTGGCACGCTGTGGCCTCCCTGCTTTTCTTCATGGTTTCATCATGCTGGCCACTGGCCCTGCACACGGGCCTCTTATGGGCCACCTTGCCTAAGAGCAGCCCCGCTCCCTCTCACACCTCCCTCAAGGAAAATTCCCCACCCATCCATCAGGGACACACCTCCCTAGGACCCTCCTCAGGCAGTTGGCACCGTGGGAGGCTGTCCTGCACCTACGCTGTGCTCCTGGGAGGAGGCCCGGCCTCCTCATGTCCACAGCTGCTGCCACTCCTGGCTGGCTGAGCCTGGGGCTTAGTGGAATAAAGTTGCTTGGTCCTAAGGCTAAAGGTGAAAAGTGGGGATGGCAAGCCTCCTGCCCAGCCCGTCCTGGGAGAGGACGCGGCAGAGCTCGGAGCGTGGAAGCCACATCTTCCAGGTTGGCCTGTCCAAGTGACCCTCTGCTGTGCCCCCCAGTCCCGGGTCTCCCTGAAGCCTCCACTGCCATGCCCGCCTGTGCCAATCCCCATTAAATACTCGTGTTTTAATTTGCATCTCTGCCTGTCATTGCACATGGGCGTGCTTCGATTTCCCCGGCGTGGGCCCCTGAAAAGGAGCCTGGGTCCCTGCTGCCTCTGGCGTTTCCTGGGGAAGGAAGAGTACACAGCTTTCTGGGTGTCCTTCTGATGGGAGGCATCGTGCTCGCCCTCGCCCTCGGGGCTCCCCGTGAGGCTGGAGCACTGGGGCCCTGTTGTCCCGCTGCTCTCAGGAGGGAGGGAATGCGAGGAGAGGCGAGAACGCAGCTCTAGAGCACTTTTATTAGGGACAGTGGGACAGTCCTCCCTGGGCTCGGAGAAGGGAGAAAGGAGAAGGGAGGGCGGGCTTTCACTTGTTAACGTCCCTCACGCTGCTTCCAGGAAGCCGGGTGCAATTCTAGAGGGAAGGGAAGAGAGACTAAGACTGGGTGCGACAGGGGCTGTTGGGACCCCGTCCCAGCTGTCTTCAGGCTCCCAGCCCCTCTCCTGCCTCCCGCAGCCCAGCAGCAGCTCCAGCCTCCTCTCCATCCCTGCCCCACCTGGCTGCCCTCCGCCTCGTCCTCCCTCCCTCGCGGCCGGCCACCTACCGGCCAGGCCTCAGCTGGGGGGCAAGGCTTTGGAGAAGGCGAACTGCCCCGGGAAGTAGTGGCCGTGAGGGTCCTCGCCGGCGCGCTCCACCCTGCCGCACTGGACCTCCTGGCGCTCCTGCAGCTCCTGCGCAGCCAAGCGCTCAGGCCACGCCCCCTCCACGCCCCTCCGTGCAGGCTTCCGCCTCTGGCCTCTCCCACAGGCCCAGTTTCTGTCCACCAGCTCCCTCCCCAACCTCTGCCCCCTCCTCCACGCACTCTTACCCGTCGAACCTGTGTCTCTATGGGGCAGTGGACCATCCGGCCCAGGACTTTATCTTCAGGGTCCAGCTTGATGCAGGCCAGGCATTTCCGCTTTCTCTGGGGAGGGGCACATAGAATCCAGAGAGTAAACGGGTGAGTGAGGGGAGGTCTGCGGCCCCGAGGGTGAGAGTGGGAGCTGGGGGGCAGCGTACAATGGGGGTTCCCCTGGCAGGCCAGGTGGTTCCAGGCTCAGCCCACCCTCAGACCGGGAAATTTTGGTAGTCAAACCATCCTGCAGTTTTCAAACTATGAACCCTGAGTGAGTGAGTGTGTGTGCGCGCGCGTGTGTGTAGGTGGGACTCGGCCAGGTGGGTTCTCCCCACCTGACTTCCACCTGAGCCGCTCTGCTGTCATCTGTTACATTTATTTGTATTTTCTTGTAAGATTTGAATTGAACACAATGGTCCTGGTATACAAGTCTAGAAAACCACTAGTATAATCCAGTCCCTCCCTTAACAGATGGAGGAAACTGAGGCCTTCAAAGAACCTGGGAAGTAACAGGGCTGGTGGTTGGCAGAGCTGAGACTGGACACCAGACGGTTGCGCTCCCGGCCCCAGGATCGCCCCCATGGCAGTGACTTTGCCCCCAAGGTGGCTGATGACAGTCAAGCCCTGTTATGAATCAGCTGGGGCTGGGCCATCTCCACTTGAAAACACACAGGAAATGGGGAATTCACCAGGCCTAGGGTGGGGACCACCCGAAGCCCATACCATGGCCTTCTCCCACCAGTGACGCGAAGCCTGAGAGAGGAACTTGGATGGCGTGGAAGGTGGACCCACTCTGAAGAGCACGTGTCCTCGGGGGTAGCCCAGCCGTCCCCCCTCCTGCCTGTCCAGGCCCCCAGCCCACCTGCTACCATCACAACCACCAGCCGAGACAGGCAAGTCAGCTGCCAGGGAGGCTGCTCCGCCCTGGGG